TAGAAAAAAATTCATGAAATCACGCGCATGCACGTTTGCTGTAATCTGATTGGCTGAAACTTCAAATTGCAATAACTCCCTTGTTTTCCAACCAAAGATGATGATATTTAGAACATAGATAAATATCAGGGACTCCTACAAGGAGGTATGGTCATTATGCACGTGCAAGCACGTGCGTGCATTTGAACGAGTGAAATTAAAAATACACTTGAATGAATGTTTTTTTTAAATAATTTTAGACTGAATGCTTTAATATATAGTATATTAAAATATATATAGATAGTGTAGATAAGATGATATGGTCATAACGCACATGCATTCACATGTGCACGGGTGCAATGCTAAAATTTGAATATAATTGGTATCCTTCTGGGAAAACGTTGTTAAAGTCAAAAATGCACAGAATTTGTCTTATTTAATGGGGCTTACAGGGAATATGGCGACAAAAGGGAGCTGGGGAGCGTTTGGGGAACATCTGTAACGGTTCCCGTTACAATTAGCACTAGTTTACTATGTGACATATAGGCTCTGTTTTGCAACGTTCAATATTTGTAGTTTGCAACCTTGATGTGAAGCTGAACTTCTAGAGTTCATTACACCCTATTACTTTTATACCAGTTTTCTTGTGCCAGTGGCAAAGAAATCCAGTTACATGTTTCTATAATAAATACTTGTATTCTGATATGTAATAGAGTTACTGATCTTTAATTAATTTAATTAAAATCACTGGCCTATGTGGAATGGTGAAGAACTGCATTGCAAATGATGTGGAGGTATTTTTACATGTGTCCGGATTTCCCATCTATATGCACACTATCACGACCAAGATAAATAGGTATGTCCAAATTCCACGATATTGCCAAAAGTACATTTTTTTAGGGTAGCAGTCTCTTTCTTCAGTTTATAGCAAACACATACAATGTCTTCGTTATACCCTGATCTGGTCGCCCATGACTGTCGACGTAACAATTGACCCACTATAATGATTTTAAATTTCATACCGTCACGCAAAAACTGGGCATATGAGAAGATGTCCGTAAAGACTTTGTCTGGTTGTCCCTGGTATGAATCATTGCCGCACATTTGCAGAAAGCACACAACAGTAGGAAGTTTTGGGAAATTAGAAAATTCCGCGCACTGTGCTAAACTTTGAAATGTTAGCCCACCCCTAGCTTGAAAATCCACGAAATACGGTGTCTTGTATAATTGTCCTCTTGTCTAATTGTAAATTTGCATAATGTTCATTATCTACGATAAATTCCTCTAAACGGCGAATGTGAGAATGTCCCATGATTCGTACATGAATCTTCGTACTTCCGTACTTTAAGGAGGAACAGGACCTTTCGCTGAAAAAATTCCTGTCAATGAATTTTTTTCGTATTTTTTATGTTACTAATTTCATATGTACTTAACATTTTAAAAAGGTCCTGTCATGGGATTTCTTGACTTATTTAAAAGATATCGCCCCACAAATACCGCCCTGACAGGCTGTATAGAGGTTTCATGGAGTCTAGATACTTCATGTTTACGGGCCCATAACGGAGTCCATAATGCGAATTTTTACGCACAAACGATAAATGTGATGGATAACACTATATACTCAAATATTTCCGAATATTCGCAGTGTTTAAATTATCTGAAAGCAATTGTTTAAATTTTATATAGTATTTGGGTGGGATACTTTCTGCATTTTTCAAAGTAGCTTCAACGACAAAAACCTCATTTGGGAAAAATTCTGTCAATATTTCTTCATGAATGATTGAATATCAGTCCTTCATCGTAATTATTTACTGCATAAATATCACAGGGTGAAGCTTACCTCAATATCGTACAGGACATCGTTGAATTAGATGTAAGCATGATAAAAACGCTTCACGTTTGTATTTTCCGAGTGCGGGAAATCAATTGTGACGTCACACGAAAACATAAACATTCAAAATTATCTAAAAAGAGAGAATCTCTGCTACTAAACACGAAAAATTTTTAATGAAAAAAAATCTGCTTCAGAAATTTATCAGGATACATTGACTGTGACCTGTTTATTATGAAATAAAACTGATTATGACGGGTGTGTGTACTTGATCTCGCTGCACTGAGAATTTAAACACTACGTCTATGACGTCACTGACGTCAGACTGCAGGGTAAAGAGAAATAAATGTGTGGATTGGGCAACTTCACAATATCTAAATGATTGCAAGATCTCTAAAAGTTGTATTAATAATAATTTCTAAAATAAAATGTTTAAAAACAATTTTAGAATTTAGAATAAAATTACACAAGAACTGTTGAATTTAACAACGTTTGACATGTATATCATCACCGATTATGACGTAATATGTCTATTTAGTCATGTGACATGTGCCCTGTCTCCCCTTAAGTCATTGTGTTTTGCTTTCCCTCCAAATCAGTGAAGTGACGCAATTTTCAGTCAAGAGAAAAATACATGCTTCTGATTGGTTAATATACTCGTACAAAGATTTGGCTAATTCCCCAATCTTTGACGCCAAATAAGCATTGCATATAACATGTTTTTGATTTTTATTTAAGAAAAAACAATATATAGTACCAACAAAACACATGATTACATAAATGATACTATTTGAAAAAAAATGCTGTATGCCGGGTCTATAAAAAGGAAAATTCGGAGATAGTCGTAATAAAATATGAACAAAATCCATAAACGTCCGAACAGCTTTCCTCGCGAGAATTCAACGAGACCAACATGGCACTGGTGAAAATCGAGAGAGAAATTCAACATGAAAAAAGAGGTTAAACTTTATGTTTTCTCGATTTATAAGGTTTCCAAATTGCAAAAAGTTGAAAAACAAATGTTTCTGTGCTTGAAAAGTGAAAGTAGATATGCAGTTTCTCATTCTGTCAAGTGCTATTGCACTTTAAAGTGTCAAAACAGCACCTCTCGATTTTGTAAATATGTTTCCACGTGGAAGGGAGTAGTCATCGGTTAAGCTTAACCCACATGCATTGATTTAATAAACAAAAGCACACGTAAGTAGAATTTTATTATTTTTTTCGATACTACCTGTAGCACAAAATGGCTAAATATTTTAGGGCATGTTTGTCAAATGATGTTAATAGCATGTCTTAAATTGAAGAGAAAATGAAGGTGTGCTATAGTCCGTACCTACTTATAAGGTAGTCTACCATGCATGCATATGCAGAGTTACGCGTATAAAAGTCATTATTTTTACTTATCAATGCCCAGTGATTTGTGAGAACCATATGTGTGTTTTTTAAATACCAAGAGACTAAAATTTAATTCTATCCGTACTCGTGTATGCACAAGAAGTTCTTCCGAATTTCCTCTACACATATACACGTGTACCTGGATAAAGGATTAAAGGTTTGTTTACATTTGTTTGCAGTTTTTATATTTCGGCTGTTTATATCAATCATGCAGTTTTCACTAGAGCCTACTGATCAAAAATTGGTTGTTACTTTTCTAATTTTATAATTAATATCATAGAATTTATAATAATCAGATGATGTCAATGCAGTTGTCAAATACTTGTGAAACTTCACATATGCAGTTTATGATTTTTTTAAAAATATTTCTATGTGTACCACTTTTTTCTCTTTGAAAGTATTGCCCATCTAAAACTAGCTAATGATATGTATAAATATAAAACTAGAGGTACTTTGAGCAATGAGCTCTGACACTAAATGATACCTGCCGCTTCCCATATGAATATAATGACAGTGTCCATGTTTTGCTATTGGGAACCCAAAATATGTGTTGGATCAAAAAGTAATGAAGATGGAAGATGCACAATTGCATTATGTAATAAAGATTCTGTGGACATCTCATCAATTTTCATTCAGTGGTACATATGAGAGGAATTAGTGGATAAGAGATGGGTACCCCCCAAAGTGTAACAGACAGACAGACATCGATATCCCTATTACTTAATATACCCTCCCGCTTTTCAAGCGGGGGCATAATGAATTACAGGCATGCATCAATCTGTATATGTAAAAGATTTTGCTTAAGATATTCTCTGTCGATGTAAACATAATTTACATTGAAGTTTTGCATTTTTGTTTGCAAGAATACATGTATTTAATTAACATATTTTTAAATGTTTTCGAATGAAAAGTAATTTTTTTTGTTTGTCTATTGCAGGCTTGAGAACATCTTGAACAGCCATCTCCAGGTATGACAGAAATAACACAATTGACCCTATTACGTCATAAACAAAAACATTATTGAATTTAGAAAATCTATATATAAATGTAATGTAGCACAAATATGAAATCATTGTAGGCCCATACTAGAAAAAAATTTCTTTCACTGCTCTTGCACTCAGGCCTTTTTACTGGTCAGCTCACCATAATATCACTATCCCACTAGTCTACTAGATTTTCATAAAAAAAAGAGACTGACCCAAAACCATAATAATGATAGATGTAATAGTTATATTTTGTTTGTATATTGTGAAACACAGTTGGACATATAATATAAACAAAACAGGATTCCGAAATGACAGAACGTTTACACACAAGCCTGTCAAGTTACTAGCCCAACTACAATTGTATTTTGTTATACACAGAACTGAGCCAAAAGACAGATGCCCCTAACATGTACTAGCCTAGATGAAAAAAAATTCACTGACCTCAGTCCAGTGGGCTTTCAATTTTTTTTAGCATTGCATTGTTAAGTCATATGGCTATTGAGACATTCTGTCCTTTTTTGTTGTTTGTTTTTTAATGATATGCATCATCCCACACAAATTACACACACAAGAAAATATTTTTTCCACTTTTAAAATATGGGCTTTACTGATCTTTACATGTATACAATGTATGTCTTTTCTTTTGAAAAATGACATTGTTGATTGAATGATCTTCCATATGTATGCGCATGATACTGTCATAAACGCACAAAAATTATAATTTCATTAAAATAAAACAAAGAAGCAAACTTATATAAAAAAAGAGTATCAAATCAATTCAATTATAATGTGTGCAATGAATGTTTCTTACAGGATATACTCTGAAGACAGTGATATAAAAGTTCAAGGTTTGCCTGTTGTGAGTATTGTACATGTAACTGTAAGGATAAGTTTATAGCATCTAATATACATTATTATTTAATTATTATCATCCTGATCATGCTGATTGGAATAAACAAAGAAAAAATATTGAGCATGCCCAAGTACTCCAATATCTACATGAGCATGTATATATCAATGTATAAAAGAATCCTGTGTAAAGTAATAATGTGTACAGTTATTTTCGATCCGGGTAATTTTCGGCCTTTTGCACTTGCAAACAATTTTGCCCCACTTTTAATTCGCCCAGTCAACCTGTCTGTTTAAGAAATAATGCTGTGTAATTTGAATTCGCCCTGTTTTAAATTCGCTCAATCAGGAAGATGGCGAAAGGGGCGAAAATAAAATGGGGCGAAAATTTCCCTGTATACAGTATGTATTTAGAGAGAGAGAGAGAGAGAGAGAGAGATGTTGATAAAAAGGGTCAATATAATTTAAAATCATGCATCAGTGATTTTTGTTTTTGTTTAATGCTCAAAAAATTTATTCACATTCTGTTCTATTTCAGCAGATACTTCTATAATAAAGAATGGGTGAAAAAATTCTCACATCATGCTGCAAAACAGTACATGTAAGTTCAAAGGCAGAAGAAAATCCATTGAATGAGACTTTATAAACACAGTTCAATGGTTGTATATTTCAGCAAACAATTTAATGAACTGAAAATTACGCCGATACATAAATCAGCATATTATGCAAACTTTAAATGGTTACACATTTCTCTGATTTGCATGTAGTGCAATGATATTTGTCAATATTTTTCATTCAGTTTTTTTTAGCTCACCTGAGCCGAAGGCTCAAGTGAGCTTTTCTGATCATATTTTGTCCGTCATCCATCTGTCCATCCGTCTAGCTGTCCGTCTGTCTGTAAACTTTTCACATTTTCAACTTCTTCTCAAGAACCACAGGGCCAATATTAACCAAACTTGGTGCGAATAACCCTTGGGTAAAGGGAAATTTAAATTGTTAAAATGAAGGGCCAGGTCCTCTCACATGGGAGGATAATGAAGAAAAGACAAAAATAGGGTGGGGTCATTAAAAAATCTTCTTCCCAAGAACTACTGGGCCAGAAAAGCTGAAAATTATTTGGAAGCATTTTGGGGTAATATTAATTCTAAATTGTTCAAATCATGACCCCCGGGGATTGGGCAGGGCCACAATAGGGAATCAAAATTTTATATAGAAATATATAGGAAAATCTTTAAAAACATTCTTCTCAAGAACTACAGGGCCAGAAAAGCTGAAACATATGTGGAAGCATCCTGGGGTAGTGTAGATATTCTAAATTGTTAAAATTTGACCTGTGGGGTATTATTGGGTCACAATAGGTTTTACAAGGGGGGGGGGGTGTTGGGAATAGCATGGTAAAAGCTTCTAAGGTGAGGGATGTGGCCTCTTGTTCTTCACATAATTGCACATGCATGTATTCTATTTGAATTATTTAAATTTAGAGGATTGTATTAATTTATTAATCATATTTGTAGTTCAGCTGTAACAAAACAAATCATCTGATGAAAGCTTCAACCACAAGAAGGAAAGGATGTCAATTAAGTCCAAAGAGAAGGTATGTTGATAACTGGTGGTGATATGTTATTGATGTACTTATATAGAGTACAGCAATAAAATAGAGAGAAAAATATTAACCTGTAGACCAAAAAAAAATAAATCTTAATTCTTTTCAAGAACAGGTAGGTCATGATTAGTCTGAGATAGTTCAGAGCAGATTTAGATTTGTTCAGATCATGTAGCTATAGGGTAGTTTGAGTCCACAGTGGGGGATCAAAGTTTTATTCTGGAATATATAAGGCTGAAACCTTTTATAAAATCTTTTCAAGATTATCAGGGCCATGATACATAATATTTTTTTGAATGAATACAACTTAGTACAGAATCCCAGAATCAAAGGTAATGGATGTGCCATAATTAGAGACAGAATGTTTATCTTTGTCTTGTGTAAATATTGGAAAATCATTTTGTTTATTTCTTGGCTTTTAAGTTAAGTAGAGATTTAAAAAAAAGTTTTCATAATTTAAATTCCTTTTTAGGGAGACTAGTTAATATCGTTCAATCTTTCAATTAATCTTTAAATATAAAACTAGCTGCAACTTGGAATAGCTGGTTATGAATAATCCGCAGAGCTCACAAACTATATAGGTCAAAAAGCTACAATTTTTAGAGAGAAAGTAATATTTTGGGGTTATAGAAAAGGGCATAACTCTCATCATGATAGTAAATGATGGATGATAATGTGAAAAATGTGGTGCTGTTGGAAAACAAGTGAATACACTGCAGTCTAAATAAGTACAGTTAAACAACTGTATCTTAAAATCAAACAACTTTGACTACCTAGGGTATGTTGACGTTCATGACAGTATTACAAATTGGATGAATTATTTGCAAACACTTTGAATTGCATATGATTTACTTTTGTAAATTTAATTTGCTCATTTTGTGCAGATCTCTTTCTCATGCAGATTATTAATGCACAATGATAGATTGAATTCGCAATCGTGAATGGCATATATGAATTTTATATACTCTGTTTAGAGTTGAACTTCGGTGTATATCTTGAACACTGAGTGAAATTTTGAACACGTCGAGGTATCAAAGTCATTTTAAAGTCCCTTGAACGACATTTTTTTCCTATATATCCTACCCTGAATGTCTTGGATTTCTCCATTTTTCAGCAGTCCCATAAGCCTTTCAAGATAACGAGTGTGACTGTATTTAAATGATTCAGTTAATTTATGATGAATTATAAATATATCAATCATATACGAGGGCCGTTCAAAAATTAAGCGGACTTGTTGCACAGAAAAAATATTTGACGACATAATCGGCCAAAATGTCGCACATAATATAAAAGAATCTTTACTTATATGATCTTCAAAATTTCATATCTAAATGTTGTAAAATGGTATCAATTTTGAGTGATTTATCAGGACATATCATTGAGTCACGGAGCAGCAAAATCTTCGACGTCACAGGCATTACAAAAAAATATGTGGTTTAGCTTTCATTTTCTCAACATTTTCCTTAGAGAACCTGTACAGTTTGAGTTACCTTACCTATTTAACATCCAAACTCCGTTTCTTATCGGACTTAAAATATATTTAACAAGTAAAGAATATTCTTTTTTTGTTTTAGAAACAAAAATTGCAGGTATTTATGAGATATAGTGTGATATTGGTGACTCTCAATCACGTTCTTTACAGTCCGGGTCAAGTTTTCGTCAATAATCTTCTTCCTGTCCTCCCGTATAGCCTTTTTACAGAGGTATAAAGGTATAACGGTCTAAAATTTCATTTTACTATTTGTGGACGAATGTCACGAATACCATATTTTACTACATGTTTTATTATGCATATTTTGGATCTATGTTGCCGATATCTCGAGCATTACACATATTTTAACAAAAGTGTGGTGTCTCCATTCAGGAGACGTCAATTTCACAGTCGTTTTCACTGTAATCGCATCAGAGAAAAATCACTGTATCTCTGTTAGTACTTCAGATATCACGTCAGAAATCTAAATGGATAATAATAGAACAATTTAAAGATACATTTGAGAAAATTGTCGAAAAATATCGCGAATTATAGAAAATTAATGAGTTAAATTTTGGATTCCACATGCTTGTGCTTCAATTTTTTTTTGTCGTGCGCCGTACCTCTCCAGCGGAGATATCAACGTACCGATAATTTTCGCAAAATCTTTTTAAAATACAGAAATTTTGCCCAAAATTTATTAGAATCTTTAAGATACATATTTCTGTGACATTTCATAACTATATGACGTCTGTAAGAGTAAATAATAGCACAGTCCGCGTAATTTTTGAACGGCCCTCGTGCTTTTATGTTAATGTATTAACATTTTATATTTTTCAGGCCATATAACAAATGGTTGCTGAATTCATGAAGACTGGGATGATATAGTACTTTTCTACTCTTATGAACCATATCTATACATTATTTGAGGATCCCTTTCTAAGAAAAAGAAGAATTTGCATATTCAAAGACTCTATATAGTTTATTGTTTGTTTGTATGTTGTTTAACGTTCTTCTTGAGAATTTTTCACTCGTATGGGGATGCCAACATTTGCCGGTGGAGAGCTGCAAATTTTGTTCTTTAGTGGGTTTATTTGGCACTCAGGGCTCATTGAGCAATGAGGGATCTTTTTAGTGCTAGCACCTACTGCGACACAGGACCTCTGAATATACAGTCTCATCTCTATGTCCGACAGGATTTCGAACCAGCAATTTAAGGGTCAACTCCTTACTCATGACTCTCGACTAAAGGCTCTTGCCACTGCGGCACGCTGGCGACTTCATAAATTATAAAATAATAAGATGATAAGATTTATAACTTAAAACTGGTGTTTTAAATTCAATCACAGTATAGAAAATGTTTGGAAAAAAGGGCGGTATTAGCTGGCTCTCACTGGTATCGCATGCTTAAGTATATGAATTAAATATTTTAATTACACATGTATTTTAATCCAGATCTCGACAGTAAAGAAAGAAACACTTGAATATTTTTACTATAAATTTTATTATAAGGTTGATTATCTTTGAAAATGAAACTTTAATCTTTTTGAGTAGGAAGAAAAAAATAATTAGAATGTACATGTGCACTTAGTTTTGTTTATTAAAAAAATATTCAAAATTTGTAGATCTTGTGAAAGATATCTAAAGATTGTTTTATAAATTTTTTACTTCATTTTTAAACAGCGTAATTTGTATTATAACATATGCCCTGTGATATACATGTACAACTTATTTGTTGTTGAACATCCCATTGTCTCTCTACATGTAGTTCTTAGTAAATTTCTTGTAAATACAAATATGATTGCATGCTGTTTGTTAACTTTGTCTTTTTTTCAATATGAGTCATGATATATAAATAGTGTGCATATCAGTTTAAATTATTTTTGTTGAATTCATTTAACCAAACCAAAAAAAATAAAAAATAAATAACTGAATATAATTATGTAGATAGATACCTTCCAGAAATATTTACATAAAAGTAAATAACTGAATATAATTATGTAGATAGATACCTTCCAGAAATATTTACATGTACTAGTAGCTGCTGATATGTAGCTTATGTGAAATCTGGTATACTTGAAAATCAATTTACCTGTATTAATTAAACAGAAATTTAGTTTACACATTCATATACATATGCAGTATTTCATACTGAAAATAGACTGTCTGTTAATGTTATACTTATTCAATATAAACATATAGATGAAATAAAACATTTTTTTTCTTTTCCCACCAAATTAGTCACAATTTAAATGTATATAAATTGATAAAAGAAACTGACTATACCATTAAAAATCTTGAGTTGTCTTTCCATGTTTAAAGAAAATATCTGCTGCAATGAATGCTCCCTTGGGTTCATGACCCTGAATATTAATAAGGTTAGGAGGTGTGTGCGGTCCAAAGAAATTTTTCAGCTGAAATGGATCGTAATTTTTTTTTTCGTTCTATGTATCCGGATTTAGGTGTCTGTACGTTTGAGTATTATAGAAAACGGGAAAGAATCATGTAAACGCTTGATTGATCGAACAGTTTTCATTTAAAAGCGTCTATATGAGTGTGATTTTGAACATACGTATCAGAAATCCAAGCATGGCTGTCGAACGCGGTAAAAACTCTGTATAAGAGAAGTTGATGGCATGACTCTCCGCGGTAATGTGTGTAGTGACAAAATAGACTGACAAATCAGTTATAACAGTTTGAATTAGAAATTTGTGTCCTGTCCGATTAGGTAGTTGAATCTAGCGGCCATGCTTGGATTCGTGCATGTGAAAACAACTTTATGCCAATTCAATATCGGCGAATTTTTTTACCATGTATATTAAAAGTTTTAAACTAATAGGATTTGAAAATAAATAACAACTTCAAAATAATACGGACTGCAGTTTTTGTTTCACAATCGGAAACCCACGACGCCCGAAAACTAGAAACATTTCTGAAATTGAAAAAAAAATATTCACCCTACCTACCGACCCAAACGTATTAAGGCCGAGTCGGCAACGCCAAACCAACAATATTTTAATTGTGGCCTAAGCAGAATTTTTGGCGTGGATTTAATTTTGGCATTATAAGCGAGGGTGCTGCATGATATCGCTAAAATTTAATGGCGTTTAATTGTTATACCTTCTTTAGTGAACATTTTAAAATCGCTAAAATTACATCTAGCTAAAAATAAAATACCATTTTTATGGACGAATCGCTAAATTTGCGTCTCGCTAAAATTTCCACATACGGTATTTGATATGAACAGCTAGCTCCCATGCATGAGTAGAAAACGTTCAAAATAAAATTTTCCTTATAATGCAAAACCAAGGTGGTAATAGAGTTCATTTACAGTCATGATACGAAACTCATCTTTAATATCTGATTTGGCCATCAGGGACCCTATAGCCAATTTACAAACCAGAGCAAGCATTCATCAATAGAATCATAAAAGAATTAAGCATTTTCTCTTGGAATGTTAGATTTTACAGTCATGCTTAAGGACAGATGATACAAACAAAAATCGGATGCGTGG